GCACCAAAACCCAGTTCAATGACCATGGAATTACTGTGCTTGATTGGCCAGCAAACTCGCCTGACCTGAACCCCATAGAGAATCTATGGGGCATTGCCAAGAGAAAGATGAGACATGAGACCGAAGAATGCAGAAGAGTTGAAGACTGCTATTGAAGCACCCTGGTCTTCCATAACACTTCAGCAGTGCCACAGCCTGATAGCTTCCATGCCACGCCACATTGAGGCAGTAATTGCTGCAAAAGGGGCCCAAACCAAGTACTGAGTACATATGCATGCTTATACTTTTTAGACGTCCAATATTGTTCTATGTACAATCCTTGTTTTATTGATTGCATGTAATATTCTAATTTACTGAGGTTGTGGATTTGGGGTTTTCATGAGCTGTAAGCCATAATCATCACAATTATGACAAAGCACGCCTTGAACTATCTTGCTTTGCATGTAAAGAGTCTATCTCATTTATTAGTTTCACCTTTTAAGTTGCATTACTGAAATAAATGAATTTTTGCACGATATTCTAATTTTTCGAGTTTCACCTGTATATGTGTACTCTGTATTTATATAAGAATACATAGATTTGTTTTTTAAATTATCCTGTCTTTATTACAGGTAGTCTTTGACTTACAACAGTTCATTTAGCAACCATTCAAAGTTACAACAGCACTGAAAAGTGACTTATGACCGTTTTTCACAGATACGACCTTTGAAGCATTTCCCATGATCATGTGATCAAAACTCAGGTGCTTGGCAACTAGTTCATACTTATGACCATTGCTCTGTCCCAAGGTCATGTGATCAACTTTTGCCACCTTCGGATAAGCAAAGTCAATGGGGAGCCAGGTTCACTTAACAACCAGATTACTAACTTATCAACTGCAGTGATTCACTTAACTGTAGCAAGAAAGGTCATAAAATGGGGTAAATAAATGTCTCACTTAACAACAGAAATTTTGGGTTCAATTGTGGATATAAGTTGAGGACTACTTTTACTTCATAAGCAACTTAAGTCAGCACACATACATTATATTCCTTCCTCGCCCCCCCCCCCCAGCTGGGCTGGACTGAGGAGTGACTGGCCCAAAGTCATACAGGCGGCTTTCAAGCCTAAGGCAGGACTAGAACTCTGCATCTCCTGGTTTCTAGGTCAACACCTTAACCATTAAACCAAACTGCCTCTCAATTCATTTTTTAATTGTTTCAATTTGAAAAATACATTTTAAAACGTAAGATAAATCCTTCTTCTTTTCCCCTCAGTTATTACACCGAAAGTAAATTCCTCTTTCCTTTCCTTTATTTATTTTTATTTATTTATTATTTTATGTCGACCTCACCCCATTCCTAAGAGGTCTTTAAGGGGCATGCATAAGCGCACCAGAGTGCTTACCACCCCTGTCCTAATATTCCCTTGTATTTGTATCCATTTCATGTATTCATAATCAGGTTTATACATATATCTGTTATCTAATTCATGCTTGACTAAATAAATAGGTAGATAAATCCTTCTTGCTTTCCCCCTCAGTTATTACACCGAAAGTAAATTCCTCTTTCCTGCGCTTGACTTCCTTATCAGGTTCGCCAGCTCAAGCCCACGTCGCCATCTGTCCTCCCCCCCTCCCCATTTACATGATTGGAGATACTCACCATATACGAGCAGGAAAAACCGAAGGAGCTAATAGAGAAGCGAATATTCAGGGGAGAATCCAAAGCCAGTCACCCGATATTTGATTTAGTTTTAGCAAAAAAAGAAGTGGGGATAGAAACCCGTTCCTAAATGGCTTTCCAGCCTCGTATAGTAGGATTCCCAGAAAGCCAGAAACACTCTAAAACATAAAAATCCACGACTTTCCGATAATATTGTAGGAAATAGCAGAAATTTATTTTTTCCCCCCCGAGCTAAATACGACCCTAGTAACATGCAAACCGACCCCACCAACACTCAAGCCATTATCCGTTTGAAAGGCAAGACACTTCCTTTGCTCCGATTTAAGTCCGCCGGGTACGCGTGTCAGGCCTATAGGCGCTCAGCCTGCAACAGCTGCCTCCCTTAAGTTCCTGCTTTGTATAAGAAACAGGAGCGGCTTCCGCTCTTCTCTTTTGATCTGTCTAGTACTGCTTTTTTGTTTGTTTGTTTGCGTGAAGGATGACTTTAATTCTAAAAGTTATGCGGCATTTGGCTGACTGTGGTGGGGCAGTGAAGGCAGAAGACCCGAAACCGTGATTCCTATATAATCATGGTTTACATGCAGCATGAATTGAATGAACGTTGGCTTCAGGAATCACAATCATGGTTTGTTTATAAATGACCAGCACTGGGAATATATATATATATATATTCCCAGTGCTGGTCATTTATAAACAAACCATGATATTGTTATATATATATAACAATAACATACTAAGACGCAACGGAAAAAAGCCATTTTCACTTTACAGGTAACTTAATCCAGAATGACAATCATCAGAACTCTTTCTTACGTCTTTATACATATTTTTTTTTACATTGATTGCATCCATGAGGTACATAAAATGCCAGTTATGGGCTACACTGCATATTCTTTATAATTGTAAGATAACTTGAATTATAATACATATAAATGAAATACATATTTTATATGTTATAATTATATCCTGCTTTTCCACATAAGACCATGCCAAAAAACCAGGAGCAAAAAAAAATTTCTCCTAACCCATCCACCCCTTCATAAAAACTTTGAGATGAGACCTAAGCCATTTTTATTAAGCTTTCATGGCTAACAGTAGATTTGAACATGGGTCCCCTCAATGCTAGTCCAACACCTTAATTATGGACAATTTTGGCTCAGATTTATAGGTACAATGATTTTAAAACTTTTCTTGTGTGCTTCTGAGACAAATTTCACACTGACAAAACTGTCATTCCAATCTCACCCAGATTTGCACTGAATACGAAAGTGTGAAAGATTCTTTATTTGAGAGAATAATAAAAAGAAGCAGGTTATTTCAGTCCAAGAGGGCAGTGGTTGTTACTTAAAATTCTAGAAAATGAAAACATAATGTTTACTGTTTGGCACTCCGAACAATTAGTTTAAATAGTAAAAATATTTAATTTGTATAAATCTACAAAAACAGCATATTTCACATTATGTCTCAGATTAAATTATATTCCTTTTAATTATCCATAAAATACTACTGCTTTTTACTAAACATTTTCTCTTTGTTGTAAGTATAATTTTATCTTATTTGACATACTTTAATTGGCATTGAAGAAAAATGTGCAGAAAAAAATGAAGCAAATATTTTTGCGTGACAGAGAAAGATGTATGCACATGCCGTAGTATTAATAGTTACTTAGGTGATAATTTATCAGGTTAATCCAATTCAACCTTGGATCATAAACTAATCATATTGGTTGTTTGTGCGCAACACATTAACTATTTATTTGATGGGTTAATCTATAGTAGACCTAACTGTGCTTTCCTTAGGTATTCTGTATTTGCATAATGCTTTGAATCATATACAGACTGAATTTGCACAGGCTGGGCTAAGATTTGCTAACCTTACATATGATTGTGGCTCAGTATGTTCAGTAAAGATAGTTTGTCAACAGTGCTGTCTTGTAAAAATAAAAGCTATCTATAAGCTATCCCTGTTTTGTATGGATTTGTTCATACTTTGAAGTAATAGATTCCCAGACTGAGTAGGGGGTGGCAGGGAGGGGGGAGTGTCTGATATTTTTCTTCCTTTTAAATTATTTTTAATAGAAATGATGTAGTTGTTCAATGACAATAGTTCAAAAACAGAGGATGTATTTAGAAGAACAGATATTCTAGAATTCTTGCCGTTTGTCATGCTTTTCTATTTGTGATCATACCTTTTAGTAGCTTTTTTTAAAAAAGAGATCTATATCTTTTCTAGGTCTGACTCATTCACAGGAATGTAAAAAGGCCATTTACAAGGGCATGTTGTTGATCTAACATTTCTCATTCAGTAAATGAGGATGCCTTTACACAATACAAACCACAACATCTAAACTAAAACCAAACACTTGCAATGCAACTTTATAGGGGACGTGAGCAGCACATAAATGTAATAAATTGTGTGACCAGGCCACTTTAAGTCCTAATTGATTAGTTTAACTTTTTACATGAACATTGCCAGTAGTTAACCACCAAGTTTTATGGTAATAATAGTTAAATGTTTTTGATGTTTGATTCCCAGTAACTCTGGAAGGTCTACAAATTGTTAAAAAATTTAAAAACAAGGAAACAATGCAAAAAACACAAAAGCAACAAAGATGGCAGACAACCGGGGACAAACACAGCTAGAAAAGTATGATTAAGGGTGCTATGCTGGAACTTAACACTTTTATTTAACATTCTAAGAACAATAACTACAGGCGGATTAAATTTTTTACTAGGTACTTTTTAAGTAAGAGACATTTCGTTAATTTTGAATGAGCAAAATTAATCTGGTTTGTCGAAAGCACATAGAGAATTGCAGAAAAAAATAAGACTTTATTATAATGTTTTCCATGGCTCATTTAGTTCCAAACTAAATCGTCCAGTGCAAATCCTTCCGGTATGCGCTTCGTTTATTATGGTTCAGAGTGTCACGCGAGCCCTGGACAATGAACCGAGTTATCCACGGATAACCGTGCTGCGAGAATAGACACAGGACCGAGCAAATAACACCAAGGTCGTGCCAACTGGAGAGGAGCCGAGAACAAAGCGTGTAAAGATAGTAGTTGCAGACCGAACCGAGCATAACTTAACGCCAACAGAATGATACACGCTCACGCATGCGTAAAAGAGAACGGGCGAATTCAAGCGAGCGTTCCGAAGAGTCTTTGATAGGTGGTGCGCGTGCGGCTATTTTGTATGGCTTAGCAAGTGAGCGCGCGTGCGCTCCACCCTTAGCACGGGCAGGGCCAGGTGGGCGTGTTTCTATCCCCCCCTAACACCACCTTTCGCCTGAATAGCCCCGCCCCACTCCGGCCCTCGGCCGGTCCGGGCAGCCATTTTGGGCAGAGCTTTGTTATGATTCGGTCTGAGGAACTGAAGCTACGGAGAGAGTGAGGGGGCGAGTTGGGGCCTGGTTCTGTGAGCACGGCCTTGCGTGGATTAAAAAAAAAAGAGAGAGAAGAGGAGCTGGACTTAAGGAGGGAGTTGAGTGGCTGCCAGCGTCGGGGGAGAAACTGAGGTAGGAAGGCAGCGGGGAGAGAGAGTCCAGAGTAGGCAAGGGGGCGGGAGTGTAAATAAGTGCTGCTTCGGGTGCAGGAATTGGGAGAGAGGAAGGAAGGAGGTGGCTGAAGGCCTTCTGTATTGATCCGATGGGTGAGAGTGGGTGGCTGGGGGAGTTGTTGGGTGCGGAGGGGGGGAGCAGTGGTTGCGGGAAGCGTTTGGGACGAGCGGGTGGATGGAGAGATGCTGGAGAGAGAGGGGTTTGGGCAGGAGCGGGCGGGCAGGCGATAGGGAAAGGAGTTCCGAGACCCAGTTTCCGTGAGAAATGGAGGCGGAGGAAGAGGAGGCTTGGGGGTTTAGGAGGACGGGACGGGGGTTTGCGAGAGAGCTTCGATTGGGCTGGAGAGGGTTGATAGGAAGCTGCGGTAGGCCTCGAAGTGCAAAGTTGAGTGGGGGCGGGGTGGGCAGGGCGGGTGAAGAGAGTAGACGAGGAAAGAGGGTAGATATGCCTCGGTGCCAGGCAGGTAGGCGTGTGTTGTGAGGGTTTGTTTTATATATGTGGTGGAAGTCCCGCTGTAGGAAGGGAGGAAACGGCAGCAATTTCGCGGTCTCGTCGAAAAGAGGGTCTGAAGCGGAATGCGGAGTAGGAAGTGTGAGAGTTTTGGAGGAGTCCTTGGGTTGCCGGGGGGGGAGGTGTAAATGTGCCTTCGCGAGGCAACCATTCTGTTTCGCGCGACGGGGGCAAAACGGGAAACGTTTAGAAGGTGGTTTAACTTTGTTTTCTCACCTGTGAAACGGTTTTGGCTATTTTCGAAGCTCCCCGCCCCCACTTATTAAGGAAGTAATGCCAGTGCTTTTGAACTAGTAACATTTGCCTTTTCTGCAAATATATATATATATAATAATAGGTTTTTTTTAAAAAAAAGATACGTGAGTTTATTTTTGTGGTAAGAAATAAGAAGTTGACCCGTGTTAAACTAAATCATGGTTTTCTGAATGAATCTGCTTGTCTGTTAATGCACAGCACTGAGCCAGCTAACCACATTGGCCAGATACACAGGACACACTTAGAACCAGAAAGTAGCCAATCACATTTTAACTAGTACATTGCACTACTCCAACCACTATTGCTAAAGTTTAAATAAGATTTTTGATTATGTAATCCTGAAGTCTTTGGTTACACATAGCTCTGTCGAATAGCACCATACTGTGTTTGGGGAAATGTGAAATGAATTTTGCATAGGAATTGGATTTACAGTTTTTTAATTTTACTGGATAAATAATCACAGATGAGTTCATACAACATGCCAAGTTAGAAGCAAACTCCATTTCCAATCAATATTTTTGGAATACTAGTTATTGAGTAAGGTTTTAAGCATTTTGTTAACTCTACAGAATTTCTTTTTGAAAAAGATCTTGATAAACTTTTAAGGGACTACAATTGGGATGTAGTTTGAACCATTGGACTAAATGTTTCAGACTAGAATTGAAATTCTGAATTGTTTCCTTCATGTAAAACTGCTGCTAGATAACCAGAGTTGTTTTGGGCTACTATGAAGGCAAGCTATATTCAACATTTTTAATACAGAATATTCTGATGGTTCAATGTTGAACAAGAATTTATTCACATTGCTGTCGCAAATATGTTTTAAATCCAGGAAATGTTATATTTACACATGTTTGAGAAGAAAACTATTGCTATTACGTGTTTTCCCAAAAATAAGACATGGCATTTTTTTTACCCCCTAAATAAGTACTTGGCCTTGGGAGATATTATTTTTGAGGTGCAGGAGGCGGCAAGTAGTTGCCTCATGGCTGCTGCTGTGTTGCAATATTTTCAGGGAGGGTTTATTTTTGGGGAAACAACATTTTAATACTAAATATAACGCTCAATAGATATATAGGGTTATAGTATTACTTTATAAGTTGAGATTGACTTTGTTAGATACTTTTTAAAGATTGAATTGGTCACTAACTTAAAACTATTCCCTACTAAAAAGGGATATTAATTAAAATATTTTATGATCCTGTTAAAAAAATGAAAGCCTGATAAAGTTGCATAATTGGACAGTTAAATAATTTCTGCAAATAACTTAGTGAGTTACCCTTACTAATTGTATCCCCAATATATGTATGTACATATTATATATTTGGTCTGGTTTAGTAAAATACTTTTCATAGTTTGGATGTAGCAAATCAAGCCTTGTTTCGATTAAAGGCTTTTAATGATATCCCTATGTTATGTAATAACATGCTTGTGGGTGGAGCTATATTCCCACTATATTTGAACTGCTCAGTTAAAAATCTGGTCCAGAAGAGCTTTGTAGATTATATGAATATCTGTGTGACCAATCTAAATAAACAGACTATAGTGTGATATAATATCACCCAATATTGGAGCAGGGAGCATGTTCCCAAGCCATCATGTTTTATCATATAAACTTACGATATGCAGATAAGAATCCACTTTTTGTATACTAAGACAAATTTTAAAAATCTTTATGGATTATGTCATTTCTGTTCATTAAGCCATAGAAATTATGTAGGTTTCCAACACATTGGATGATAAATCCATAACAATTTATGTTTGAAGAATAATAGTAGATATATTTAGCCATAGAAAACAGAAGTTAGTAGACAACTGAAGATATTCTTTTTAAATACCATGTAATTCCTGTTATAATCTATACTTATTAAAGTTCCCAACATTTATAATATATATAGTCTTGTGGAGAACAAAACTGGACATCCCCTTATTTTCAATTTTTCTTTTTCCTTTAAAGTAGAACGTTAAACCTCTGAAGTAAATTAAGTAACGTATGTTTCTCCAGTGTATTCTTGTTCTTATCTCTTCAAGAAAAAAGTAGTTATTTACCCAGTTAAGTATTTTTTATAATTTGACTACATATGAATATGAACTGCTACTTTTCCTGTTTACATGGTTGTAAAATATTAATATCGGTTTCCAAAAAGGAAGCTAAAGAAAATTGTGATTTAAATTCCTTGTGGTATCTATTAAGCTCATAATACAACAGTAAAACTTCTGTTCAATTTGATTAAATTCATGCTTTCTTTTTTATTGGGGGGGGCATATGCTTCATATTATATCTCATAATTACGTAGTAGCCTACTTCCCTCTTCACAAACTATAAATTAAGTAAGCTATATATTTTTGTACTTAAGGAGTCAGAGTTAGATACATTTACATTTGGATCCTCATAATGGAGTTCAAATGTTTTTATTTTAAAGGGACAGAAATGTGACCTATAAATGTCAAATGATACCATTGATGTTCATGTCCTGGATGCTGCATGAACATCTGGCTCCTTTTTATTGCAATTACAAATTACATTTTTTATCATTTATAATAATAATAATTTAGTTGAGTCTTTAATTATTTCCCCAAATATAATAATCGGTTTAAATCTGAACTGATTATATTTAGACTAATATGGTTAAAGGTTGCTTAAATTAAAATGCAATGGAAACAATTAGAGTGTGTACCAATTAAATTATGCTATGTGAAGTACATAAAACACTTCAGCCTATTACCGGTATGAAAATTCAGGTTTCCTTTGCCCTCCTAAAATAAAATAGAGATGGGGAAAAATGGGCAAATATTCCAGAGGGCTAGAGCTGCAAAAGGGAAAGGCATAGCTCTGATGTCTAATAAGATGATATTGTTCAGCAGAAGCGACCCGGAATATGCCCATTCTGAAATCTTACAGGATTGCAAAGGCAATTGAGGAAAAGAGTTGTGAATATATTCCAGATTTGTAGGCTGTTTATAAAATACTAATTGTCAAAAGCATTTTCACTGGATGGTTTAAATAGCGCCTGGAGCCAATAACTTATTTTGATGTGACAGTACTTAGATGTATTAATTAGATAGTGAAACCAAATATAGATATACTGCTACAGTAGTAAAAGTAAAATATACTTAGAGATCCAGATAATACTTTAAAAAGGTATATCTTGCCATGGATAATTTCTACTCTGGTATTCTTCTACATGTTCCTAAAAGGCATTGTTCATCAATTTAATGCACTATTTCAAAATTTTAATGAGAAAAATTCTTTGCCTTGATTTTCTTTAAGGAAATTCCAGTCTTCAATGAATGTTTAAAATTTTCTTGAGTTAATTAATGGGAATCTTTTGCCTTCTGGAAACTTCCCTCATGGGCAATCCTGGAATCAGCATATTTGATGCTTGTTGTAAATTAGACATGTTCAACTGTTTGAAAAATACAGATTTCCCTCTTTTTCCCAGTTGCAAAAGAGACATAGTACACAATAGCATACCAACTTTGGTTTCATTTTATGAATAGACTGAAAAAAATATGGGGAAAATCTTCAAAATTATAAGATTCTTTTGTTGGAAGATCTAATGTTCACTGTATATTTTAACCAATTAATAAGAATATATTATAATTTCTTATCTAAGGAATTGGAATATAAGTACTGAGAAAAGTGGCCGGTATGTGAAGATAACAGATTTTTAATGTCAAGACATTGATCAACTGCTGTTGATGTTTCAGAATAATTAACGCTACAGGATTTAACAGTTGATTTATGTGATTTATGGAATGATAAGATTGTAATAACTAAAGTTTTAGAATGCGTAATATAAGTTCAGAAGTACGGGCATAGAATTAGTAATGGTCCATTACAAGGTCAGTCGAAGGCTGACCTTGTAATGGACCATTAACATATAGATGGACCATTAACATATAGATGGACCATTAACATATAGATATCAGGTGCTTGAGGATATAACATTACAATTAAATAAATACTGTTTTATATTTATTGGATATTTATGTATCTTTTCAGGAATCCCACCTTAATATGGTCATGTATTGTCTGAAGAATTATATTAGTATTATAAACTAAGAGTGGCATTATTTTAGTTAAAACGCTTTCTATTATCTAGATATGGATCAAGTGCTTCAGAGTCCCCTACTGTACAGTATTAGAATACATTTTTTTCTTTTTGAAATAATTTTATTGTTTAAACGGA